ACATAAGATGAAAGTCCCTAAATGTACTTACCGCAAAATACGATAGATTAATAAAGCCTTCTTCTTTATCTTCACAGTGATTCTAAAACCAACACCTATTGGGATGCATAAGCTGCTCATTAAGCTTTCAGGAGCTTTGGGAACTTCTTGTCAGACTCACTATTAGCACATTAGGTTTGGATGTACACCTACAGATCAGTGTTATACAAAGGTAGCAAGCACTCAACCACTTCTTGATGTTCTTACTCCTTCTACTTCAGTTATAGTCTGAGGCAAGTGTCTTCTGTACATGAGAGGGAGGCTGTACCCATGGAATTTCAATAATACCTAGGATTTAGGTATCAATGGATACCTAAATTAGACCTAAAAAATGAAAAGATCAGTTGACACGCCGGCGTGGATAGGGGAAATTCACTAGGCCTCAACCACTAGATAAACAACATTAGTGGATGTTGAGAGACAAAGAACAAGTCTTCTTCAGGGATAAGTCCACTGATGTTATCCAGTCCCAAGTGATCAGTCCTAAACAGACTGCATACGGCAACACTACCACTAAATGGACTCAAGAGTTGTATTTATAAATTTATATGTATACATGGTACATATGAATATATAATAGTATATATAACATATATACATATATACACTAATAATTAAAGAATAAAAATTCATGAATTTGAGAAGGTGAAGGTAGGGACACTCGAGCAATTGTAGGCAAAACGTAGAAATGGTGCAAATATGAAATTCCCCAAAATAAAAAATATAATCTTTCTGTTTGTATCTAAGAGATAAAACATACTCTATATGAGGTGTTCTAAATACCTAGCAACTGCATTTGCTGACATCACATTGCTAACTAGAAATTAGCCATGATAGGAGAATGCATATACAAAAACTGGAAAACACTATAAATAAATCTTTGCGTTTTCCTTAATTGATTCTAGACTTTAAAAGGTCAGGAATGATTTTAATACTGAAGACTAAACTTTAAAATGTCCTTGTTGGGTTGGAGAGATGGCTCAATGGTTAAGAACATTGGCTGTTCTTCTAGAGGACTTTGTTCAATTCCCAGCACCCTCATGGCAGCTTACAGTCTACCCTCTGTAACTCTGTAGGCATCAAGCACACAAGCTGTAATAGATGTATATGCAGACAAAAAAAATCAGTACGCACAAAATACAAAATAAATACATTTTCAAATGTCCCTGTTCCTTTACTTACAGTGAAAAGGGACATGAAATTTTGGTTGTATATTCAAAACCAGTTATATAGTTCACCAAAGAAATTGCTGACATCATGGCTAAAGCAGTAACATCACCAGTATAAGGCTAACACCGGTTTCAGTGTTAATGCATACTATTTGTACTATCCTAGAAAGTTTAACCACAGGTAACTTGAATTTAAGGATAAATAATTACCGAGAAAAGTGAGGTGTTAGCAATTCTGTCTTTGTAGGTTGCCACACATCCAAGAGTTCATCAAGAACAAATAAGGCATTCTTTGAGATTATCAGAAGTTTGTAGCAAAGGCTACCTTGTATGTTATTGAAAATGTATCTATCACACATTTCCCATATTAGCTCAATTTATAATCTGTTTATTTATATGGTAGAGCTTGACTCTTAAATAAAAGTCCATGTGTCCAAAGGCTTGATTTCTGACTTGGGCATGGGTCTGGAAGGTGTTAAAATATTTACGATGTACAGCTTTCTAGAAGGAAATTGTGTTGCTGGGCATTATGTCTTGATACTGGAATCGCAACCTGTTTCTCTGTTTCTCATCCGTTGCAAGCTTAATAGGCCTCCTTCCCATGCACTTTCCCTGTGAGGTACTATTCTGTCACATGCCCAAAGTGTGTTGTGAGAAGACATGAGCCAAATAAGTCTTTATACCTTAGAAATTGATTATCTCAGTTATTTCAACACAGTGGTGGGATGTTTCAATCATTGCTCCATTGCTGTGACGAAACATCATGACCCAAAGCAACCTGGGGAGGAAAGGGTTTATCTGCTTTGTTCTTTCATATCATAGTCCACCACTGAAGGAAGTCAGGACAGGAACTCCAACAGGGCAGGAAACTGAAGGCAGAAACTGATCCAGAGGTCATGGAGGGGTGCTGCTTACTAGCTTGCTCCCTGTGTGCTGTGAAACCATTATTATACTCCAATCTGGGCTAAAGTGGGACTATATTATCATAATCAACCACAGCTGTGACTGAATAAGTCTGTTTTCTTATAGAACCCAGGACCATCAGCCCACAGGATTTTCTGGAGGTGTTTTCTCAGTTGAGGTTTCCTCCTTTCTGAAAGCTCTAGCTTGTATCAAGTTGGCATGAACTAGCCAACAATACAGCAGTAAGTAAGTGTGTATGTGCATATTGGTTGTGGTTGATAGTTGAACACTTGGCATTTTACCATCCTGCATCCTCTTAGAAAAGAGACCTGGTCACAACTGGACACACACTTTTAATCCCAGCACTTGAGAGTCAGAGGCAGATGGATCTCTGTCAGTTCGAGGCCAGCCTGGTCTACGAAAGCTAGTTCTAAGACAGGCTCCAAAGCTACAGAGAAATCCTGTCTTGAAAAACCAACCAACCAAACAAACAAACAAAAAGAAACCTGGTCACTACAGTCACAGAGAAGTAAACCCTGTGACCTTAACCTTATTTGGAAATGCTTCTTTAAGGAAAAGATGGATATGGAGAATAATTCATGTTAGTGAGACATGTTTAAGTCACTCTAAAGAAATTTTGGCTCAGGTAATTTTCAGTCTGTTGCATTAACCTCAAATGTGCTTCAGACAACTGAAAAAGTTGTCTATTTCAGTCTATTAGAATATGAAAAAGGTATCAGTTTGAGCACAACCTGATGAGATAAGAAAGAAAAGCTGTGCACCTCTCTTTAGCAAGGGGAAGTCTCACCGGAAGGAGCTGAAAAGTACTCATAAGCTGTCCTTGTCCTGGAACTGGTTTCACGTTTAGAGAAGTCACACATGCCTCGTTCAAATAACCAAACTCAGCTGTCTGTGTCATCAAAAGTGTCATTGGTCAGTTAGACTGATGGCAGAGTTTCCTCAGTAATATGATTATTGGGGAAACTGCTCAGCTATCAGGCTTTGGGAATAGAGCAAACTATTGTAGTTACAGTTCAGTTCTACCAGTGAGCAATGTAAATGAAGGCTGGCAGAGCTGACAAAAGGTGTCAAAGGTAAAAATTAAGCCCTCCCTTTTTCAGTTAGAAACAAATTTTGCTCTAAATTTTGAACCAAACAAGAAAAATGGGTGTGATCATAGGCATTTCTCCTGAAGGTTCTAAACCAAAATCTGTGAAGGGAAACTTCATACATTATCTTCCCAGACTGCAGAGAAACAGCAATATCCTCATGGGTCTGCTGAGAAAGGCAGATAGAAAAATGTGCTGTGCAATACAGCTATTAATAAAGCTTTCAGGGGATCCATGAGTAGGCTCTTGTGATTGACAGATCATTACGTGGTGAATTCATAGAAGGAGCAGAATTAGGTACCAGAAGGTCACACAATGGAGACGTGCATTTTCTGGATAGCTTATGTCAATATGGCACAACCTAGAGTAATCTGAGATAAAGGAACCACAATCAAAAAATGACTCTACCAGATTGATGTAGGGGGGCCCAGGCTGTTGTGGGTGGTGCCCCCTGGGCAGATGGAACTAGGGTGTGTAAGAAGGAACAGTCCGTGAGAAGTAAGCCAGGAAGCAACTCCTCCGTGGCATCTGCTCCTCTATCTGCCTCCAGATTCCTGATTTTCCTTGTTAAAGGACCGTGAAGTGGAAGTGGAAGGTGAAAACACACCTTTCCTCACCACGTTACTTTGGTCGTGGCATTTTAGCACAGTAATAGAAGCCCTAGGACAAGCTGCTGAAAAAATAATATTCCAGGTACCTTTCAAATACCCCTCCAATTCATGCTTAAAATTTAAATATCTGTAAAATAAGTATAATAAGAAAGTTGGAAATAAATAGGACTCTAACAAAGTGTTGTCGAGAATCATATTCTCCAACTGTAATTGGGAGGAATAAAGAAAGAGATGTCCATTGCTCCTTCTGGCTGGAAACTAGGCATCAAGTATAGCATTAAAGCCCATCTATCCTCTTTCCCTTGTCCCATGGATTTCATGATGGACCTGCAATGAACTTTCCTTTAATTCATATGAAAGCTTTGGCTCTTTCAGGACTCGTATCATGGGTTTTACAGTAGGAATGTGTGACTAGGAGATGGCCTGCTTTGTTTACTGAACTTGGTATTAGTAATCGAAAGGGTGAAAAGATAGAGGACCTAATGGGAGGTATCTTACCTAGTCCTCAGGCATGACAAGGCAATGCGAGACGTTACCCTTTGGAAGACTCATTCAGCAGGTCATCTGCTAGTTCGTTAATTGAAAGATACTCTTTGAAAGGAAGGAAGGGCGCGAGAGGCTTAGCCAGTAAAAATACAGTCATGTAAGTATTATAACCTGAGTCCTGGATCTCTTTGTGGAAGAGGAGAACGGACTCCAGCAAGTTACCCTCTGATTTCCACATGCATGCACACACACATGCTGTGACACGCTCGTGCTGTGGCACACACATGCTATTACACACACATGCTGTGACACACACATGCTATTACACGCACACATGCTGTGACACACACATGCTGTGACACACACATGCTATTACACGCACACATGCTGTGACACACACATGCTATTACACGCACACATGCTGTGACACACACATGCTATGACACACGCACATGCTGTGACACACACTTGCTGTGACACACACACATGCTGTGGCACACACATGCTATGACGTACACATGTGATACACACATGCTGTGACACACATGCTGTGACACACATGCATGCTATGATGTCCACATGTTGTGACACACACATGCTGTGACAGACACATGCCTTTATTTGTATGTATTTATCAGACATTTGCACTGATATAGACAAAGTAATAATAAGTAAAAAACATGTTTGCCTGGGAACATAAATATGACTTTTATTAAGTTCAAATAGTGAGGATTCAAATAATGATTTTTACACAATTTCTGATAGGCTAATTACAATTCATGTTGAATTAGAATTTCAGTTTTAACCAAAAGTTTTTTGCTAGCATTTCATGCTGGAGCTTTTGACCAAGAATTCACTGTCTTCTTATTCACTCATCTGGGTCTTGAGGCCCAGATGATTTCCTCATAGCAAAAATGATTTAGTTTTCACACAGCCTCAAGGAAGACAAAGAATATGGAAGGAAAGCATGGCAGTTTAGGATCAGTAATGCTTCCTTATAAAGAAATACCTGAAATGAGACCTCGATGGGGAACAGAGACAGTGTCTCAGTGGTCAGGATTCTTCTTTATTTCACAGGACTTGCTTGCTGTCTGTACCAAGCCCGTGCTTCATGGGGAACAGAATAGAAATTCATGATTTTTCTTTGTTTTGAGGAATCTAAAGTCCTATACACCAAGCTTGTTTGACCACAGATCACAGGTAGATCATGTCAAGGGCAGACATGTACCATGTGTCACATTCCTCATACATCACCATCGTGAATCAGTTCACTAACTTTGAGAGAATATTACTTTTGTTTATGCATATGGGTGTCCTCAGATCCCCTGGAACTGGAGTTAGAGATGGTCGAAAGTCTCCCTGTGGAAATTGAAATTCAGTCCTCTGAAGGGACAGCCCAGTTCTCTTAGTTACTGAACCATCTCTCCAGCCTCCTCAGTTCTTTGGTTAATTGAAAATGTAGCTGTATTCTTCCTTGGATTCCATCATGCTAATTCATGACTGGTTCCTCTCTCATAAGAAGGACCACATGGGGTCAGTGAAATAGTAGTAGCTCTGTAGTAAGTCAGCACATACACTTCAGCCAAGTCCAGTGACCTGACTTTGATCCCTGAGACCCACACTGTGGAGAGAGAACAGACCCTAGAATGACTTCAAGTCATGTCTCAGACACTTGTACACCCCCACCCTCTACACGGATAAATACATAAATAAATGAACATATTTTTTTTTAAAAAAAGGATTGTTTGGAATAGAACAGATCTTGACATTTTTGTTCTTAGGAATAGTTGCTCTTTGTAGATCCTTCATTTCAAATTTTGTACCAACCCAGTCCACCACTTGTTAGAAATGACATGAAGTTTTCAGCACTTTCCCCAGAGGCCAAAAACTTACTTGGCACCAACCTGAAGGTTAGAAGTCGCAGGAAGAAGGCAAAGCACACAGCAGGAATTGTAAAGATCAGGATAGGTCGTGGGGAGTGAGGAGGGAAAGGGGCCAATACTGGCATGGCTTTGAATCAGTCGGTACAGACACTTTTGCTGGGGAGGAGAAACGTGGTTTGTTTGGTCTCTTTGTTCAGTTCCTTTCACTGGGTATTTGCAGAACACCTGCGCTGTGCTAGAACAAGTTATCGGCCCTGAGCAAACAGAATCATGTGTGCACTGTGACTCACAGCTTGAAGTTCGCTTCCCTTTGAGATGCTATCTTATACTCTGTAAATTTAAGCTTGGGAGAATCTATACTCAGTGCCAGAGTGCTGAGAATGAATAGAAACAGTAGTATATACTTGGGAGTACGTCAGTCCTGGGGTGTTTTTTCCTGATGATTCTCCTTCCTTTCAAGCCTTATTACCACCAACCCACTCAGAGCTCCATGCTGCTGACCGAGGGTCCAATCTGGAGCATAATTAGTGTTTAGTCATTGGACAGATCTTGACCGAATAGGTACTATGTGCCAGACACTGGTCTAGGTCTTAGCAAATGGTGGTGATTAGGCAGACAAAGTCCCCTGTACTCTGAAACTCCTTCATGCACAATTAATAAGCAAATTGATTCTGACAAGTCATAAATATGCAGGAAATGATAGTCATGAAATTCAATCTGTAACTGGACTTGATGACTGGGCATGATTAATCAGAAATGGGCTTTCCGATAACATTAAAGCTAAGGGCTTGATGAGGGTCAGCTCTCAGTATGCTTCGAATAAAGTCAAGGGGCTCTCAAGACTCCAGCTGAGAGACCCACAGGTTCCTGCCACTATGGCAACGCTACACTGATCGTGGTGCCGTCATTCCAAAGACTGAGATGAATTACAGCCTGGAAAGGCGGGGCAACCACTGGAGACAGGAGTAACACTGTGATTCAGTTTTTGTGGATTGCTCATACTCCCGGGGCTCATCAATACCATAGCCACACCTTAGTTCTGGGAGAAGGCCCTGTGTAACAGACAAGAGCTCCTGGAAGGGACCAGCAGCAGCCAACCACAGAAACCAGCACACCCAGCAATCTGGCAGACACTGTTTACCGCCCTAGAGCACACGGGGTTACATGATCTTATATCTATAACCATTATCTGCATCAACAGGCTTCAACCACGTTACTTTCCTAACCCACCCCATATAATGACTCAATAGCATCTGAATGTTTTGCACATAGAAGCAAAAGTCTTCCTTACTAAAATCATTTTAAGTATTGTCAAATACTTATGACAAGTATGGTCAAAGGAAACTTTCGTTTTTTATAGCCTATTTTCTTTTTATTCTTATTGCTCGATAAAATTGAAAAATGTGTATGGGATGTTACCACTCTACAAGACCAAAATTGCTGACAAAAAAAACGTATTCTTAATACACATTAACCCTTGAGTTATGTATGTTCTGGAAGTGTGAATTTATTAGTATTTTAAGATATTTCAAAGATCTAAAAGTACTTTTTAAAAGTACTTAGGAACGATTTTACAATAGAGGAGAATGGTAAGAGTGACCTCTTTAAGGGACTTGTTGCTTCATTGAGAAGACCAATGTCTACTCATTTATTTGTGATATCTATCACCAATCAGTCATAACTGCACAATATTCAGCAATGTTGTGAGATAGGAACGCAAAGCACCAGAGAGGTCTTGTGGATCAGCAGAAGCGACTGGAGTCAGTAACTGGGAACGGTCCACCTGAAAGATTGAGGAGACTTTGAGAAATGAAGAGTGGTGATGGACCTAGTTAGACCTGAACCCAGTTGGGTGTTTTCCTGGGATAAAGCACACATGTGGGAACAGACACATATTGTTCATCTGGGGAATGGTTGGGAAATGGTCACACTAATCTTGCCCCATGCCTCTAATAGGCATGCGAAATGTCTTCAACTTCAGAGGCTTACTGAAGAATTCTGTAAGAGTTTTTTCTGGACTCACCGGTGGATTGTGTGCATTGTTGATGATTTGTAAATATTTGCATTATTTCTGCTTTGAACTATGTCGATGGCTTTTATGGTATGTGGGTGAATTTGGACACAAGGACTCTCAGAATGCCTCCTTCTTAGTCACAGTCATTACAAAGTCATTGAAACACCATGAAATAATAAGCGGCTTGAGGCCTAATGAGTTCTTATCCTTCTGTTTGGGAATATTATCGAGACCAATTTTTGCCTGTTACTTTCTGTGTGGATTTATCCTTTGTGCCTTTCACTGAGAATATGCCGAAGTTGCTTTAATATTTGAGTGAATCCAAGGTATTTTAGAAGTGCACTTTGTACTTCTTGTATGTATACTTATATTTTCGTTATGTTTTGAAAGTTCTACTCTAGAGTGGAACTTTTGTCTTTCTTCTTTCTGTCTCTCTCTTTCTGTGTCTCTGTCTGTCTCTTTGGGTTGAACCCAGAGCACTTAATTAGGCAAGGGCTCTGTTCGCACAGCACTATCCCCAACTGTTATCTGGTGGAGATTTTATCCCTTCCTGTTTGTTCACACGTTCACTCAATCCAAAGTTCACCTTCAGTTATGAATTAACTCCCCAGCAGGAAGTCCCTTTGAATGAAAGCAAATTTCTGATGACAATAAGCTTCTTTTTCTTTGTGGTTTGAGTCACTAAAGAATGAATGGTTTTGATAAGTCTAGAGACCTCCATTTCTGAATTACTCCTATCTTTTAAAGAGAATTGGCATGATCAGTTTTTTGGCTTGCTATTCCAAGTGGAAGAATGAGAATCCATTTTCAAACCGTAATGGCTGTGAGTAGGCCCTCTTGTGGCTGGAGAGGTCCCTGTCTCCCAGTTTGATTCTCCTCAGAAGCAAATGCATTAAGGATCCAGCATTCTTTGTGGAGAGGCATTTGGAAGGATTGCCAGTCTCTACTGTATTCTTAACTTCTTTTCCTGCAGTTTTCATTTCTTTTTGAAAAGAAGATGAAAATGATATTTCCTGCAGTATATGGTAACTAGGTTTTTCTAATGAATGCTGGTTTTTCATAATATTGCTTGGCATGTTATCATTTATTAAGCAGAGGTTTCTATAAAACTAGTGAGGATTCTTTCATTTCTCCACTTTTTTAGTCATCCCAGTACCATATAAGTATAGATAAGTTATTAGTTTAGCCAAAAGAAGAATTCATTTTTTTTTTAAAACAGACAAACTTGCCATTTGAGGGGTGTATTCAAGAAGTTTGGTTGGGGTTGGAAATTCGGTGGAGCTTTTATTTGCTGATGGGTAGGCTGATGCATATTGTGGGAAGTGAGTTCTTGATTCTGACTTCTACCATAAGACAACAGTTTACAAGGAAAGTGAAAGAAGAACATTTTTTAAAAAAATTCCATGAATTTAAAATTGTGAATTTCAGCACATAGAATAAACCAATTTGAGATTTTCCCAGAACATAGAATAACTAGCATGTGTTTCTTCTCTTCCTCTCTGCCCTAGGTTAACCTCAGAGCCACTGATGTGAGGCTCATGCGCCAGTTGCTGCTCATCAATGAGAGCATCGAGTCCATCAAGTGGATGATTGAGGAAAAGGCCACCATCACCAGCAGAGGCAGCAGTCTCAGCGGCAGCCTGTGCAGCCTGCTGGAGAGTCAGGGTACCTCCTTACATGGCAGCTACAACAGCCTCCAGGATGGCAGTGATGGGCTGGATGGCATCTCTGTAGGGAGCTACCTGGACACTCTGGCAGATGATGTACCAGGGCATCAGACCCCTTCAGACTTGGATCAGTTCAGTGACAGCTCCATCATAGAGGACTCACAGGCTCTGCACAAGCATCCCAAGTTGGATTCTGAGTACTACTGCTTTGGCTAATGACCCAGTTTTTTGCATGGGACTGGTGTGCAATTAACTTGTATGTATCCTTCTTCTCTGCTGCTATATTTTTGGTGTGATTTATTTTAATAAGGCAACCTTTTTAAAGAAGCTTATTTTTAAACTGCTTAATGATATTTCTGTTGCTCCTAATATTTCTCATCTAGACTGATTTATTTTTCTCTGTTACATCTTTATTTTTATTTATTATAATAAGCTTTCTCCCCTCTTATAGTAGCACAGACAAGAAGAGGGGAAAGGATAAGCAATAATTGTTTTCGCTTTTGTTTTCAGAGCAAGGGGTCAGGGATTATAGAAAAAAACTTTGCTAAATTTTACAATAAACCAAAGTCTGATAACTTCAATTTGCTGCTTGTGTCCTTAAGTGATTTGATATTTTTATGTGTCCGAAAATATGAAGATATTTTACTGTTTATATAATGAGATGAGCAAAATATTTAGCTAAAGAAAACATTAATTCAAAGTCAGGACATGTTAGTGCATAATGAGCAATGCTGTCAGTCATGCATTGACATGATTGACATTTGGAAGATCCTAACTGCGTAGACTTGGGTCAGTCCACTCTGGTGTTAACAATATAGACTGACATTTTATAATCAATGAGTTTAACTCAAATCTTGAGTTTACTTCACTTACAATATGTATTACTCTACTAAATTTCAAAGAAGCATGGACAGTAGTTTCCACGGACCCTAGATTTTACTGAGTGGCTTAAAAAAGAGAGAGATGGGAAGACTGAAGGAGAAGTGAGTCTGATCGTAGGCAGGACCATGCTTGTTGGTGGACACGCAGTGAAAAGCCCTGTCTCAGCAGCATACATAGTGGGACCAGGCAGCAAGATGAAAAACCCTCCCCAGGACGAAGATGCACTCTCATGGGACGGAAATGACTACCATGTGTATATTAAGGTCTATCTCAAAATCCCCTCCCTTCAAAAATTGCCTTGCCTGGCTACAAGGAAGCTGGTACGTGTAGTTTTTCAACAGGAAACTGTTTTAAATGCCCTAAATTTAAAGATAGTTAGGGCTTTATCTATATTTTCTTGTGTATATTTTGCCATGCTAGCAGAAAGTATAAACATATACAGTCAGACAGACAGCCAAGAGCAGGGTAACGTGGGGAAGTGGATCCACGAGAGCCTGAGATAAAGGGGATGGCAAATATTTATTGGGAAACACTCATGAACAACAAGGTAGACAGTCGCCGCGGTCCCCAGCTC